TCTGGAACAGATAGTCGACGATCAGCTATCCGAGTTTGCTGGTTTTGTCCCCTACCAGTCAGTCGGAGAGTGAACTGCATCGGAAATAATGCGTGGTCAGACTCAACGCAGGTGGTTCAATAGGACCTGCAATTTTGCACTGAGCCACGCCAACGGCAGCTTACTGCTATGTGGTAGGTTTGAATTAGCGTCCCTGTTGAACTGGAGCGCCACGTTGCCGTCCGTCAAGAGCTGTGTCGGAAGTTGGTGCTTGATAGGAACAGATGATGGTCTGTGCAGAAATGAAGAAGTCGATTGCCGTTATCTGTTCATTGGCAGGGTATAGCACAGCTACCGCCTAGGCAAGCTTCTGATGCACCCAGTTTTCCAACCTGCACGTTGAAGTCACCTGCAAGTACAACTATGTCGGAGCTTCGACTCATCCGAATGAGATCGGTGAGTACATCGTAGAAAGTGTCCTTTTGGGTATTAGAGCAGCAATTGATCGGTGCATATGCTAATACGATGAACAAACACCTTTTGCCGTTGCTTCCCTTCCGCACGCTGATTGAACCATGGAGACGCACTGCACATAAACAACTGTTGAGGGGGATCCAGTCGATCAGCTAGGACTCCGCCTTGTTGCTGAGTACAACGCCTACCTCGCGTTGACCCACTGAACGGGCTTCATCGTCGCCTGATGTGCGAAGGACGTACCTCTAAGACAAATCTGGCGCACTCAAGTAGCTTACAGTAGTAGGATCCTGGGTTCAAGTTTCCAACACGCAGCAAATATCGACTCCTAAGGATTCCATTGTACGTGCCAGACAAGCTTGTTGATCTACCTGCATCAAGGTCCTCACGTTTAAGGCCCCCAGATTCAGTGATTGACGAGGCTTTAGAATCTGCAATTCGTTTCGATATACATTACCTACAGTGCTATTTGACAACGACCTTTGGCGAGCGACATCGAAGTTGCTTGAGAGACTATTACAGGTCGGAAGAAGCGGGAATTGGAGAGGGTTTGGTACTGAAGACAAAGAATTAGACAAAGGTTGGGATATCCCACTTATCACTACCCGCCCCGCTCAATGCAATGGGCAGCGCGGTCCTGATTATTCTGCACGATGACCGATGCAGTATGAAATTATTTGTAAGTTGTGTATGCAAAGAAGAAGTTTATAAAACCTGTTTTCCGTAGAATTTGCTTAAAAATTTGACAATGTTAAAGACATTGACCAGAATCTTCTGGGCGACAAAATGACCATATGTAACTTCCTACTGGTCTACGTAGATGCGGTCACGTAATAAGCTCAAACAGCTTAAATAAATGTCAAATCCATCATAAACATAATGAAAGCAGTGATGTTGATAACATTATTAAAAGCTTTATGCATGTCATGTCTCCCGCACGATTTAGTTGCTCATGTTGACGAATACAGCAAACTCTGTTTTGCTTATTTCGTTGCTATCGACCCAGCGAGATAGGGGAAAATTGTGAGATCGAATTAATATGTAACTGGAGCTTAATAACCCGAATGTTAAGTGGATTGAAAGTCTAGTTTATGCTCAAAAGAACAATCTCACTCAGGACACCATGAAAATGGACTAATCAACGTTTTCCTCTTCAACTTGTTTCACGTGACTCCTCTGATGCTGATTGGATAAGGCACCTGAAATGTGGAATGTGGAGACGATACCAAGTGTTCTCGCGCAGCTGATTTGAGTGGCCTCGAACGATCGATTTTTCGTAATTAAACGTTTTTCAGGAATTTCCTCTGCCGAGTTGCAATTATGACAGGTTCTCAAAAATTCGTGAGAACAAAAATTATTTGTCCACAACGAAATGTGGCTTGCAAGTTTCGAGTTGATCTGTAACTCTAATTCCCGTGTAGGAGAATGAAATACACCTTTTGTAATTCAAGTTGTCCGATTATCATTTCAAACTGTCTCGTCGATCTCATCGGCGCTGACTGGCCCATGCACTGTTCAACTCTCCCAGCGATGTCTGGATGAATACCCTGCAGCATAGACTCTTCATTCTCCCGTTGAAGCTGGGGTGGGGTGGGGTGGAGTGAGGGGCTGGGGAGCAATTGTGAAACGTGTCTCGGTCACACAGGCCCCAATTCCGTGGTCATATCTTGGTTGTTGTTTGCTTTGCTCGTACGCGTATGCATCTGGGCTTTTGTGTGTGTGTTCGTCCCCCTCCCCCCACCCCTCCGCCCCACCCCATATCAGGCCATACTCTGTTGACACCAGTGAATCATGCACGCTCAACGCTTGAGCTTACATCGCTTACATCTATCGCGTGATGATGCAACAGGTTCCATGACCTCAGATGGTTGCAGTACAATGTCTTCCCGCATACTGAACCGAAACAAACTACTCACATGTTCATCTGCACTCGGGACCGGTGGATACCAGGTAAATCCAATATTTTGAAAAAAATGACCGACTATGGATGAAGGAATACTCATTGAGAGCGATTTAACCGTCCAGTTGTGCGCTTGCGTTTTTCCTGGTTCAAACTGAATCACATACACAACTGGAGTCATGTATGTCGATCTGCTATCGAATAGGATATCCATGGGATGGTTAAAAAGGTGGGCTGTGTAAACCTACGAAGTGGCAGTTTTGGCGGTCAAGCGGTTCTAAGTTGCTATCACAAATGTGCATTGGGTCTTGGGGTTCAAAGTTCAAATTAATTGATAAATGGTTTTACTGATCCTCTGGTTCGGGGTTTAGGTTACTGGTGTGCACGACTAGACAGCAAGTTCTTGTTACTATGGCGTTCACCACATCTGCAATTCATCACCATAGAAAATCGTGTAATTGTAAACAACAAAAATCATTAAAACTAAAGTAATTACCAAATAAGACTAAAATTCAGAGCGAAAAACCAACAACCCAACAACAGGAACACCGAAAATCATTGAGAACACGTATCAACCGAACCGCTTGTGAACTGTGGAAAGTTTGTATTTGAAAATGTTTGTGATCGCATTGTTTCGTATCAATAAATTTGCGGTTCAGTCTGGTTATGTTTATCGCATAGATAAAATGAACAATCGGTGCTATGTCAAGATTGTTAAAATCTCAGTAGCCTCGGTGGGATTCTAACCCACGCACGGACATCATCTGCGCTTTTTTGTATAGTACACGCTCCACCTGCTGAGCTTTGAGACCACACCGATAGCACTGATCTTTTCATATTCAAATTACCCGTCCAAACAACAATTTGAACAATCGGTACTATGTTAGATCATCTCATTCGTTGTTGTATATAAGGAACTTCCACCACGCTACAGAACGCACCGAATGATCATCGCGACGGAATTTAGAACCACACGACCACAGCTTCGCTCGCTTTGCCAGTTTAACAGAACAAATGCTTCCTTTGGCTGATATTTCTCTTTATCAAAATAATAGCCTGATTTGTTTATATAACGAATTCGTGGTGTAAGTGAGGCGTCAGCTGATAAGCTGGGAACCACTGGACAGCTGTTTCGAAATGGTTGGGTTTCATCAGCAATGAGCGAACCCATCGATCCAACTGGAGATGGAACCCGGACCTCACAGGTAGAACGCAATCATACCATCCACTTGATCACCGGGTAGCTGATCAGACCGTTTCTCATATCCCAGAATTCGACTTCCATTTGGGTGGTTGGATTCGCACTGCTGTTGATCAGACCCAACCAGGTCGAAGCGTCTTTCCAACTCACTCCTCATTTACACCAATAATTCATCCTATAAACAAATCAACTACTCCATTACTCCCAATATGTTGATTTGCTTGGCAAATGAACACGTAACCTATGCGCAACGATTCGCCAATTTCGGCAAACCTATGACTGAGACTGTGACTGACCGTTGGGGACTGGGTTTGGTTTGTGCCCCATTGACAAGTTCGCCAACTCTATCAGGCCTGCTATTCGTGAATAAAACTTTCCGACTTCAAATGTTCCAATATCCAACCTGTCAAACTCCTGTTCCTTCTACAGTTGTCAGAGAATGGATACACTAACTCAGACGGTTCCCATTGTAGAAAGTTAGTCTTGAGTTCTTCAGTTCCGATAGGCGAATATGCTCTTGACTATCTTGATACGAAACAGAAATGTATTGTACAGTGAAGGATTACTGTGCAGCGGTAATTGGTTACGTTTCTGAGTCGCTCTCCCCCCCCCCCCCCCCCCCCCCCCCCCCCCCCTCC